ATGCAATTATTGCTCTGTATGCTTCCAGTTTTTTAATCCATAAGAAAACGGCTACTTGAATAGCTGTCAATGAAGAAAGATGAATGGTGTATTTACAGCAGTTACATTAAGTAACCACAGGACTCATTGTGACATGCTCAGTAAAAAAAAATATATATATATAGTGGTGTGAAAAAGTGTTGGCCCCCTTCCTGATTTCTTATTTTTTTGCATGTTTGTCACACTTTAATGTTTCAGATCATCAAACAAATTTAAATATTAGTAAAGGATAACACAAGTGAACACAACATGCAGTTTTTAAATGAAGGTTTTTATTATTAAGGGAAAACAAAATCCAAAACTACATAGCCCTGTGTGAAAAAGTGTTTGCCCCCTAAACCTAATAACTGGTTGGGCCACCCTTAGCAGCAACAACTGCAATCAAGCGTTTGCGATAACTTGCAATGAGTCTGTTACAGCACTGTGGAGGAATTTTGGTCCACCCATCTATGCAGAATTGTTGTAATTCAGCCACATTGGAGGTTGTTCATTGATGACCTTCATGAAGCACCATTTGGTGAGTTTATAGAAGAGGCAGATTGAGTAAGCAGCTTGAAGGGTCTCTTAATAATAAACCAAAATCTGTCAAAACCAAAATGATTGTCATGATGCACATTTTCATGTATCGTTATATCATATATCATGATATCATTGATGAAATAAAAAAAAAACCTTTGTTATCAAACGTTTTCAGTAATTTTAACTTGTAACAGTAAGTTTAACTTGTAACAAACGTGTAACTTGCAAGTGCACTTGTAGCACATTTTGCATATTCAAAGAGTAACAACTAAAGTCTCCCTATCTTCTATTTTGCAGATGTTTATGAAAAAAGATCAATGACTCTAGAGACATTGCGTCAGTGTATTTCTAGAGGTGAAGTGTTGATATCAGATGGCTCTCATATCAAGCTGTTTCAATCAAGAGCCGTTATGTTCATTGATGACCTTCATGAAGCACCATTTGGTGAGTTTATAGAAGAGGCAGATTGAGTAAGCAGCTTGAAGGGTCTCTTAATAATAAACCAAAATCTGTCCAAACCAAAATGATTGTCATGATGCACATTTTCATGTATCGTTATATCATTGATGAAATAAAAAAAAACCTTTGTTATCAAACATTTTCAGTAATTTTAACTTGTAACAGTAAGTTTAACTTGTAACAAACTTGTAACTTGCAAGTGCACTTGTAGCACATTTTGCATATTCAAAGAGTAACAACTAAAGTCTCCCTATCTTCTATTTTGCAGATGTTTATGAAAAAAGATCAATGACTCTAGAGACATTGCGTCAGTGTATTTCTAGAGGTGAAGTGTTGATATCAGATGGCTCTCATATCAAGCTGTTTCAATCAAGAGCCGTTAATTATCTAGGCACTTGTAGTGCTCCTAATGCAGTCAACAGCAATCAGATCTCTCCACGTCTCTCTCGACTCTTCACGATCTTGACTCTCCCAAGCATGACTTCTGAAATCCTGTTTTCTATCCATTCCTCGAAATTGCAACCATGGCTGAAAGAAATACAACCCATGCAGAGGATTGCAGATACAACAAACTGCATCCTAACCTCAACTCTTGACGTGTATTTTGCAGTGTGTGAATGTTTTACTCCTGCATTACACAGTCCAATCTTCATCTTTTCTTTGCGTGATGTTCACAAAGTGTTTCAAGGAATGTATCTCTGGAAGCCAAGGCTTAATGTCCAGCAGGCTCTTCATAGTAGTCGGTGTTATAGGAGTTTCTCTTCATCTGTTCTTAGTCACGCAGCTCATGACCTTAACATCGCCCGCCTGTGGATGCATGAGTGTTTGCGCACTTTTGGTGATCGGCTAGCTTCAGAGGAGGCATGCCAAAAACTTCTCTCAGTTATAGCTGAAGTTTCTGAGAAGAATTTTGGCACTAGGTTGTCAAGTGAATCTACAGAAGGTACATCAAGCCCTACAGATCAATCATCTGTATCAAGCACACATAATGTATACCAGCAAGTGGATTCAACCCCTTCCCAGTTGAAAGAGAATGTGATTCCCTTGATTGGAATGGCAGAAGTTCAGACAGAGAGGAAAGAGAGCTATGCAGTAGAGAACAACTCCAGCTTGTATAACCCAGGAAGTGATGAGGATGGTAAAGATGAATTAAAAATGGATGGAAATGCCGAAAGTGAACCAGGAACATCAGAGTGTATATCTGAAGCTGCAACTGAATTCTCAAGTTGTTCATCTCAAATGCATCTAAAAATTTCTCATTCTGGTGAAAACAAATATGACTACATTAATCAAAAACCAGAATCACATGAAGAGTTAACCACACAACATATGCCTTTAACAACAACCACAGCAAAAACATTCATTCAGCTTCTACAGGAAGCAGCTTCTTCCATCCAGAATGTGGTCTTCAGTCCAGAATTTTGTAAACCATTGAACAACATACTTCAGCATCATAATTTTACACTCAACTGCGTGTATCGAGAAAGAGACATAGATATGTTGGTAAACCAACTATTTCATACTCTTAAAAGCAGAGAAGAAAATAAAGAGGAATCTGACAACACTTACTATAGTCCTACCTGGGCTGTGCATCACCAAAATGTACATCAACTTGTGCATATCATCCGCGCATTTCTCATTCCTGGTGGACATGGGGCTCTGTTTGCAGCAGCAAAGAAAACGGGCAGAAAGACCATCGTACGCCTAGCTGCCACTCTGTTGGGATATCAACTAATTGAGGTTCATCCTGAAAATGAGGCCAAGTTGTGGGAAATGATTAAAGGGGTTCGTAGCCACATTGCGGTGGGTGGACATTTGGTTCTACTGGTTCACGAAGACACTAGCCAGGCTCTTAAGGATGAGCTGCTCATAATCATGGCGAATGGAAGCTTCCCTGGACTGTATTCAGATGAGGAACTGAAGAATTTGACGAAGGATGCCAGAGCTCTTGAAATGTAGAGTATAAGTTTCCATTGCATTTTATATCACGCACTTGAGATACTGATGTTGTTTCAATTGCATGTTTAATTATGTGTAATAATTAATGTAATATAATGTAAATAATGTTCATCATTTTGTATCTGATGTTTGAAATCTTTTTAAATTTTTATACTTAAATTTCTTGTGATTTTGCAGCAGATCATGTCACTGAAAAAAGGAATGCATTGACTATAAATTTCAGGCAGATACTGAAAAATCTATCATTATTATCATGTTATGGTAAACAATGGATATTCATTTTGAGATTCGCTGAAGATTAATAAAATGTAATTAAACTATTTTTTTATAGATGAAATTAGTGTTAGGCAAAGGTAATCTACATGTAATAAGAGAATTGAGCATGCAGTTAAATATTCAATATCAACCCACTGTTTTAAATGATAAATTCTCTAATATCAGCAGGTAACCATTATAGTACTGATATTGTACATCTCTTTTTTTCCAGGTATTTCAAAAACATCCAAAGAAATATTCATGTATTCCTTCTTTATCCTCTTCTCTGGGACAACTGTGAAAGACAAACCGTAAAATCTTCCATTTTGGAGATGCATATCACCAAGGCTTTGAGTCTCTGCTGTTGTGTAGAAGTGTACCAACCTTGGACCTGTGAGGCTTTAGCTGAAAGTGCCTTGTATCATTTAAAAGCCAGCCACCAGATTCCCAAGACAGCTAGAACAGGTGAATCTGTTGAATATAATTCTAATTCTGCTCCTAATGGATTGTTTTGTAATCTGTTTCATGTTTTGAAAGAGTTTGTGCCTGTGTGTTATTGCATTTCTAGTTGCCAGGAATTGCTTAGTGGCTAGCATTTCTGAGGCGATGGCAAGAATACATTTATCGGCTACAAAATATGCGGTCACACTGTTTCGTTTTCAACCGTTTTGCCCTCGGTCCTACGTAGAGTTGATGGTCCAGTTCTCCTTCCTCTGCCACCACCTCTTTGAGCAAAGCAGAGTTCAGGATAACCGGTAAGGGGACTGCTAATACCACTAATGTATTTAAACACACACTACTGTTCAGAATTTTTTGGAGTCAGATTTTTTTTTTCAGCAAGGATGCAAAAATATACCACCATTTACACTGACAATAGTAAGAAATGTTTCCTGAGCAGCAAATCAGCATATTAGTATGATTTCTGAAGGATCATGTGACAGACTGGAGTAATGATGCTGAAAATTCAGCTTTGCCATCACAGGAATAAATGATATTTTAAAATAGAAAATTTTAAATTGTAATAATATTTGGTGTGCATAAGCGACTTGCTTCAAAAACATTATAACAGTAGTGTATGAACATTTTCTTGTTACTTTTTTTAACACTTGTTTTCACATATTAGTTTGGCAAAGGTTTTAGCACATGTGAAGGACATGACTGACACAGCTGCAAGGCACACCCAGGACGTCCTGAGCTTTAGGGCCAAATGTGAGGAAAAACAGAAGGTACGTCTCAGCAACTGTTGTTAAAAGAGGATGTGACGAAAATGTTCAAAAGTGATTTTACTTGCTCAAGCACTGAAAGGAAATGGAGCAAAGGTTGGACCTTTGTGTCAATAGCTCAGATCTAAAATTATCACGGTGTAATTTTTCTCACTATTGCGTGCATTCATGTATCTGTTGTAGTGTCTGGACCAGCTGCAGGAATCAGTGGATGTGGCATACAAAATCTGGGAACAATCCCACTACCATAGTTCAAAGGAAGAAGCATGGCTTTTCAATCTAGAGGATCAGTCACACCAAGTTCAGCAACAAGTTCAAGATGCCTTCAAACAGGTCTGGTTTGATTAGTATGATCATACATAGGACACACTGAAATGGGATTTTCACTGTTGCTGGATTTGTGCAGGTAGGTCCGCTGTACCGAGCAGCTGTGGAGGCACTGCAGGCTTTGAGCCAGTCTGACTTGGATGAGATGCGGCACTACAGGATGCCACCTGATGGATTTGTCATGGTCATGGATCTTATATGCATGTTATTCAACCGTCCATGTGGGTGGGATAGTAGCAGACAACTTTTGATGCAATCCAGCTTCTTTCAGGTAAAAAAAAACCTACTGGACCCAATTTTATTTTTTTAAAAGATTTGTCTGAAAGTTTTCTTGTGCTCCACCAGGAACTGGAATTTTTCGACTTATCGAAATTAACCGATGAGACCATTCATAAGTTAGCTCAGATCACACAGGCACCTTGCTTTCAGCCAAGCTCTTTGCGAGATGTGAGCCGGACTTGTGAGTCTTTGTGTCGCTGGGTGAGAGCGGTATACCAGTATGCTTGCATACAGCGCCGCATGGCACCTCAAAAGGCTAAAAAGAGCAATTTAGATGAGCTCATGGCTGAGAGTCGGGCGAGGTTGAGACTTGCGAGGCTGCAGGAGGATTCGGAGCGGAAAAGACTAGAAGAATTGGAGAAAAGGCAGGAGCTCAACAGACAAGACAGGGAGTTGCTGAAGGCCCAGCTTAGTACCTCAGAAGCTCAAGAAAGGGAGTCATGTGCTGCTCTCAAACTGGTTGAATGTCACATTAAAGATTGGATGTCAGCAGGAAAGGTATAGCTAAAATTGTTAAGGAGTATTTCAATTTCAATTCAAGAATTCTTCAAGCAATGCGTGTAACCCATTATTTGACATTATTTTTATATATCACAGGAAGCAAAGTTGGCTAATCGCAGCATTCCAGGTGACGCCCTGCTTTTGGCATCTGTTGTTACATACTTGGGTCCATTCGGGCCTGATGTTCGACAGGAGCTGCTCCAGAAGTGGCACAAACTTTGTCTGGATGGTGCAATTAATATGAAACCTGAGGACCCACGTGCAACAATTTTCAAAGATGTCCCCCTTGCAACTTGTGACCACTATGTGGCTATTCCTGTCAGTAAGACATTTCAAATGGCCTTAAATCGAATACTTGGACTAGATCTGCATCGCATCCATGGAGAATCCACTGATCTGGTCCGAAGTGTTCTTCTCTGGGGGGGCAACAGATTTGCTTGGTCTCAGCGCTGCCCTCTACTGGCAGATCATCATAAACATGAGGAACCCAGCTCTCAGACATCGTTTCATCCTGGTCAGTATGACAGCCTGCCTGCCTTTATATATATATATATATATATAAAATAAAAAAATAGTAATAGTAATAAATAGTACCAAATTAGGGTTCTCCGGCTTGTTCACTGGAAAAACAATGGTTCTTTATTGGCACTGATGGTTCCTTGAACTTTTAACATCCGTGGAATCTTCCCCCTCCACAAACGGAATGGAAAGCAGAAAAATTCTTTAGATTGTTGAAATGTTCTTTACACTAAGACAAAAATGGTTCTTTTAAGAACTGATCAATGAAAGCTATTTGTGGAGCCCAAAATGGTACTTCTATGGCATCACTGCAAAAAACACCTTTTAAGAAGTATATCAAGTACCTGTTGATATTGTGTTGACAGTCTGTGTAGTTGTAATGATTAGTCCACTGAAGGCGAACGTAGTGAAGAACCCATGTGCAGTTTATTTACAGATGTGATCCAAAATACAAACATAATCCAAGACTAGAGACACAGACTTGACAAGGCATGAACAGACTAGACTCACCGACAGTGGGTTACAACTTCAATACACGACAAGGCACAATGGGAACATGATGGCTACTTATAGCAGACAAGGAGGATCACATGACATGAACAAACCAATGGGAAACAAGACACATGACTAAAATTACCAATCAGAACATGACACATACACAAGGCAGAGATACATGAGGGCAAGGGAAGCATGACACTGACAGCATGAAACAATTACAAAATAAAAGACATGGAAAACATGAACATGAAACAAAACCCAAACACCAAACCCCACATTACAGTAGTTGAATGGGTGAGCTCCAGAAAATCAGTAATGAATTGGCTTTGAAAGGATTTTTTGACAGTTACAGATTTAAACAAATGAAGGAATAAAGAACAAATAGGCTCTTGAATAACAAACTCTGATAACAATAATAATAACTCTAACACAATGAACCATTTTAGCATAAAACGGATCAGTATGATATGGTTTTAAATAGAACTGATACTATGTGTAAAGGATTTCTATATTGCCTAAAATATCTAGGTTTTGGCTTTGTTTGCGTATGCAGACCGATCGGTGTATGACATCAAAATACCATACAGACGGTTCCTTATGCTTTCAAAATGCTCTCGAGGTATTTTGATGTCATACACCAATCGGTCTGCACACGCAAACAAAGCCAAAACCTAGATATTTTTGGCAATATAGAAATCCTGGCCAGGACGCGTCCTGGGAAAATGGCACGTATGGTCACCCTATGTAAAGAACCTTTAAAGAACCATCTTTTTTAGAGTGCATTTTAAAAATATCTTTCCGTTTTGGTGAGATTTGTTATAGGTCAGATTACAAGATGTGAAGAAAAAGCCCATGAGGAGGATAAATATGGACTTATAGTTTCTGCTGATGATCCACAGTTATTTGATAAACTAAGTCATGGAGCAAAAGAAGGTCAGTCATCTGCAAAGACTTCTTCCGTTTCATTTTCATATCTACACTGTAAACGGTTTAAGCTTACTTTGCTTTCATCCACTGCAGGTCTAAGTGTATTGGTGACGCATACTGAACGAGCAACATCAAACCTACAAATCCTTCAGATATTTGTTACGCCAGCAAGTTCCCCTGGTCAGAGCCACTCGGTTCAACCTGATCATCCAGACTTTCGTCTCATTATGAGTACTTCCCTTCCAGTCCAAACGCTGATACATGGTGAGAGATTAAGGATGTGTGATGTGTTGATTCTGCAGGATAGTCATAGTATGATCCTTTTTGAAGTCTTTGAAGCAGGGCTTTTTTTTTTTTAAATGTTTCAAACCAAGGACCCCCAAATATGCTGATGGGTATAGGACCCCCTTCCTAAAAAATGAAGGCATCTATATATTTTCATGTACCTCATCTATAGTAAAATACATGTATTATATTATATTATATTATATAAGATAACATGTTTTTTCCAGAATGGAACTGTATTATATTGTTATTGTGCTAAATGTATTTTAATTATTTAAATATTATTAAGAATATATTTACTTGATATAGTTTTTTCTTAAGTACTTTTAACATTGGGTATGTAAACCTGAAGAATATTTAGTTCAATTCAGATTTGTTTGTATAGTGCTTTTCACAATAAATATAGTTCAAAAAGCAGTTCTACAGAGAATATTGCCTTTCAACCCCCAGTGAGCAAGATAAAGGCAACAGAGAAACTTTGTAGAAAAGTACAACACAAATACAAGCTATTCCCAAGTGCATATATGCCTAGAAAAGATTTCACAAAATTAGATGCAGATTTTTTTTTTACTGTTAAGACTGTCAACAGAATAAATTGAAATTAATCTCATGAAAATATATGAACCATGTATCTTAATGAAAATCTTAAGTTAACATGTTAACCTTGACAGCCCTAAAAAATATTTTTCCCCCTCACACATTTTCATGGACTCTAGTTTGAATAGCCTTGCTATGAGGTGTTGCCTTATGTTATTAACCCACTTCCCCCCCCCACATTTTCTGCTAGAAATTCACACTTCATTCCTGGAGGAGGTTCAAATGATTGATCTTTCTCCAAGCACGTCTGAAGTTCAGGACCTTTTCTTGACAGAACTGATGCAGACTGTGTGTTTAGAACTGTGGACTCTACATCGTCAAATTCAAACAAAAAAACAGACACTTCAGCATGAACTTTTTCAAAACAAGGTTGGCTGGTGAAGAAGTTTACATCTTTTTTGGAAAGCTAAGCTTTTTGAAATAGGCCTATTCCTAACAGCACATCCTAATGTCCATTTTTATTATGATTGCAGGTTTCCTTGATGGACTATGTCATGCATGCATCCACACCACTTCTCCAGGACCCTGACTTTCTTCCACACGTGTGTATGTGTCAGAGTGTCTCTCTTGAACTTGAGACAGAAATCAAGGAACTATCCCAAGAGATAGATCGGCACAAAGCCCTGATGGCTGATTTTTATCGAATAGCAGAGCTCGCCACAGCCCTGTACAACGCTCTGCAGGACGTGGCCCGACTTTCCCCATGTTATCTTTTCACTCTTCATGGTTTCCTGCTCACTTTACGGTCAGCTTTAGCCCTGAAGAGCCCAGACGTGAGCTTTCATAGAGTGATGGAGTCCACAGCAGTCATATCTCAGATTACCTACAGGATTGTGTCTCATGTCTTTTCTCAGTATAAACCCCGCTTGTTCAAGAGCCATTCCACTTTATTCAGATTATTGGTATCTGTTGCCGTTATTGTGCACAATGAGGGATGCCCTGAGGTAGAACGAGTCACTTTCCTCAGAGGATTAAGCAACTGGATGTCTTCAGAGCATTTTTTATCACCGTCTGCACAGTCTGTCCCCGAGCTGCCAAGCTGGATTCAAACATGCGCTCGAGATGACATTTTTCTGTTAGAGAGGATTGAACCCTTTTGTGGCCTTGTATCATCTCTGGTAAATTCGTCCAAGCTATGGAGGGAATACCTGCACTTTCCTTCGTCCACAGTGATTGGACCGGTCCCCTGTCAGTCTCACTCTCATTTGTCCACAATGCAGCGGGCTATTCTCTGGAAGACACTGTGTCCTCATTGGCTAGCGGCAGTGGAAGAGGACCTTACAGCCTGTGCGCAAAGACATTTGCTGCATTCATATCCTGGAGATCCTCCAATGAGCTCTGCGGAAATGATCTCCAGCCTTTTGTCTAAAAATCAAGGTCCTGTTGTTGTACGTTTACCAGATAAAAATGAAGAAATGCCAGGAAGCATTCACCCTCTCCACTTGATTAATCAAATTGCGCAGTGCCAAGTGGACAACAAAGGGGTAAGTTACTGTAGCAGTTGTTATTGAGATCTAAAACACCTAAAAATTGTTTTTGGTAACTAAAATAAATCTTAAATAAAATAAAATTAAATATAAATATTAAATGAAAACTTACATGAAAATTTTAAATGTTGCCTTGGCATCTAACTAAAACAAATTAGCTGAAGTACTTAAAATTACTAAAACTAAAACTGATATAAAATAAATTAAAGCTAAATAGAGAATTTTTTAAAAACTAGAATTTACACTAAAACAGAAATTATAAAATGGTAAGTTACTGTTGCAGCATTGTTGATGACTAAAAAAACTAATTACAATAAAGCTGAAATGAAATAAAATAAAAATATTAAATGAAAACTTTTCTGATACCATTCTTCCCAGTTTTCCCATCACATATGAGCTTGGAGAGGCAGAAAATATTAAAAAATATAATGAAGAAAATATCAGAAAAGTATAAATAAAGTTACTAATAGGTTTTTAATAGGCCTATAATTGAAATTTGATTTGGTGTCCTTGCATTAATTGGATAGGCTAGCCAGGGTTATATTAGTTAACTAAAACTAAATCTAAAATTAAAACCATTAAATAAAAATTTTAATTACTACACACAACAAAATTGCTTAAACTTTAAAATTTTAGTCCAACAAGTCGCTGAATTTGTCCGCACACTGAAAAATTTTTGGTCTGATTGGAAACTTTTTTTTTCATTGTGCGGACAAATTCAGCGACTTGTTGGACTAAAACTTTCTCCCCTTCGCTCTACGCACCTGAGAACTCATTGTTCTTTTTGAGCGCACACAATTCCTGTTTGATAAATTAAACTTTAAAATGAAAATGAAAATGGAAAATATAAATATAAAAGGTGATTCAGTAAGAACTAGTATTTTAATAGTGTGCAGCTAATATTTTTAAGCCCAAAGTATACTTAAATTTTGACGCAGACAGTAGCGTATGCATACCGCCAGTGCATAGACATTCAAAGTTAACTCCATATATAACCATGGCTCCCTTCCTGATGTTGTGGTTTAGGCTCATGGCTGAAAACCAGAAGGTTGCTGTTTTGGTTCCTTTAACATTGTTGCCAACATTGTGTCCTTGAGCAAGACACTTACTCCAAGGTGCTCCAGGGGGATTGTCATTGTAATAAGGTCATGGCACTGTTCTATGGATGTCACAGAAACATATATAACTGGCCTGGTCATGTGGAAGTAAATCAAATCTAATTCTAAAAGTCAGAGCTTTGGCCTAGTGGTTAACACATGTGCTCTGTGCTGCTCAGTCCAACTTGTGACATTTCCCTTCTCTCCTCATTATTTCCTGACCTTTCTCTCTCCCAAACAATAAAATCATGGCCATAATATGCTATGGTACAAGGGGTAATCATTCACTTTATAATAAAATCATTATTTTATTATGAAATATAACTATACTTTAAAAGTATGTTGCAGCCTGTCATTATTGTCAACAGGTGAAGCTGAGAGTTATTTCTTTCGGGTCTGGTTGCCATCGAAATGCTGTTCTCTCGGCACTAGACAGCGCTGTCCAGAATGGCCACTGGTTAGTCCTAAACAACTGTCATCTGCTGGACTGCTGGGATGTCAGAGTTGTGAACAAGTTAACACAAGTAGTGTACAGCACTACAAAAGGTGACTTAAATAATGATACAAACTACACCTACAAGACTTCATTATCTCATTATAAACCATATGGGAATTTGACAGATTTGGAGACAGATGGCGGGCTTCTAAATGCTGCAAGTACAGGAAGATTTGTGCATCCCCAGTTTAGACTGTGGCTCATAACCAAAAGTGACAGGACTCACTCAGTCCCAGGTAGGCAATGCTCTGCACATTACACATCATGATGGCTGAAATGTCTGCGCCATTTTATAATGAATACTGTCAACATGAACCATATTTATTTCCTTAAAGGGGTCATATGATGCGATTTCAAGTTTTCCTTTCTCTTTGGAGTGTTACAAGCTGTTCGTGAATAGATAAGATCCCTAAAGTTGCAAAGACTAAAGTCTCAAACCCAAAGAGACATTCTTTATACAAGTTAAGACTGGTCCACGCCCTCCTAAAACGCCTTGTTTAAACACGCCCCCATATGTCTACATCACTGTGTGGGAAGATTTGCATAACACCGCCCAAATGTTCAGGCAAAGAAAGAATGCGTAACTTTATTGTTGCTGCCACCGCTGCCGCCATGTTGTGGAGACGCTGTGTGTTTTGTTGCGAAAGCGAAAATACTTTGTTTGGCCTTCCAAAAGAGGACACAACCAGAAATCAGTGGTTAAGTTGTATTTACAACACTGTTCCAGAACAGTTCAA